TAGTTCATGAAACCAAGTTCAGTTTTTATTTAAATTGTTCCATTAGGGACTGATTGGGCTGCTCAAACTTACTATGGAGAACCAGCCATGAAAATGGGGCTCAAGGATTTTGGTTACAAGATATTGGCTAGAGAGATTTCCTTGTATAATGAGTATAAAAAAGAAAGTCCAGTGTTAAAAGATCCAGATAACATAACAAGTAAAGGGTGGGAGGGGACAGAGAATGTGAGGTTGGAGATGCAAAGGTTTAGAAAGAGGTTACTCAAGGCTTACACCCATGCAGTGGCAAGGAGGAAGAGGAGAGGTTCTAGATAGAAGTAAGAGAGAGAGAGAGAGAGAGAGAGAGAGAGAGAGGAAGGGAGGGTGGAAAATGGGTGTGAGATAAAATGATGGGGTCTGTAGATAGCATTCTTTTTGTTGATAAAATGAATATCTTTGGTTACATAGCTTTGCAAATTACAACCTTTTCTCTTTTTTTTTGAGAATTCTCTGTAACATCAGATGAGATTCACTTTTGCTTGGCAGGTCAGGTAGCTTAAGCATTGTTAAAGGCCAATTAAGCTTTTTATGGTCTTTTCCTTTATTGAGAAATCAGGTCTCGTGAAGAGGGTAGAAAAAGGTTTTTGTCATTTTTGAGGCTAACGGCCCTAAAATAAGTGTCTTCTTGTGAAAAGCCAAACCTTTAATGTGATTGATAGGGCAGAGAAGGGGTTTCACCTTCGGTCAATTCTGAGATAGACAGCCCTAAGATAAGAAGAAGGTTGACTTTGGTCTTGGAGATTACCATGGTCATGAACAATGATTTAAAAATCAATTGCCGAGTTAGTATGGAGTGTCAATGCGACCCGGGAATCAGTCATTCCGTACCGATTCTCACTTATAACAAACAATCGGGTGTGTCTAGAGGTGAACCGGCGATTTATAGCGATAACTCGGTGAATCTCTACTTGACACTTTTCGGGCATGTCAAAGGCGAATCGTAACTCGATTTTCGAGCGTGTCTGGAGGCGAACCGGCGATAACTTAGCGAGTCCGAAGCGATAACTCAGCGAGTCCCGATTTCAACCGTGGAGTTATGATTTCAACCGGTGAGGGTAAGCTGAGGCGAACCGGCGATATCGAGTCGCTATTTTAACCTGTAAGGGTAAGCTTTGGAATTTTTTAAAAAGGCAAGCCACGATTTCAACCGCGGAGTCACGATTTTAACCGGTAAGGGTAAGCTGAGGCGAACCAGCGATTTGTAGAGCTCGCGATTCGCAGCGATAACTTGGCGAGTCGCGATTTCAATCGGGGAGTCATGATTTCAACCAGTAAGGGTAAGCTGAGGCGAACCGGTGATTTGCAAAGCTAGCGATTTGTAGCGATATCTCGGTGGGTCGCGATTTCAACCAGTAAGGGTAAGCTCTAGATTTTTTTAAAAAGGCGAGTCGCGATTTCCACCACGGAGTCGCGATTTCAACCAGTAAGGTAAGATGAGACAAACCGGCGATTTGTAACGATAACTCGATGAGTCGCGATTTCAACCAGTAAGGGTAAGCTCTAGAATTTTTTAAAAAGGCGAGTCGTGATTTCAATTGGTAAGGATAAGCTTTGGAATTTTTTAATAGCGATTTCAACTGATAAGGGTAAGCTGAGGTGAACTGGTGATTTGTCGCGATAACTCGGCGAGTCACGATTTCAATCGGTAAGGGTAAGCTCTGGAATTTTTTAAAAAGTTCTGGAATTGGTTTCAACCGGTAAGGGTAAGCTCTGGAATTTATTAAAAAGGCGACTCGCGATTTCAACTGGTAAGGGTAAGATTTGGAATTTTTTAAAAAGTTTTGGAATTTTTTAAAAAGGCGAGTCGCGATTTCAATCGGTAAGCGTAAGCTCTGGTATTTTTTTATAGCGATTTCAACCAGTAAGGGTAAGCTAAGGCAAACCGGGCATTTGTAGCGATAATTCAACAAGTTGCGATTTCAATCGATAACTCGGCGAGTCACGATTTCAACCGGTAAGGGTAAGCTCTGAAATTTTTTAAAAAGGCGAGTCGTGATTTCAACTTCAACAGGTAAAGGTAAGCTTTGGTATTTTTTAATCGCGATTTCAATCAGTAAGGGTAAGCTGAGGCGAACTGGATATTTGTAGCGATAACTTGGCGAGTCGCGATTTCAACCGGTAAGGGTAAGCTTTGGTACTCGGCGAGTCACGATTTCAACCGGTAAGGGTAAGCTTTGGAATTTTTTAAAAAGGTGAGTCACAATTTCAACTGGTAAGGGTAAGCTTTGGATTTTTTTAAAAAGTTGGGGGCATATTTGTTGCCTATAGGGTTCATAACACGTTACTCACACTCATAGGATCTCAACATGAGGTACACATGTCACACATGCTGACACACACACATTAACAAGCAGCCACCACAAACAATTTGTACCAATCAAATCTTCTCTAAAACTTTGATGTGGGATAGTTCCCATCAAACATTCTGCTTGCAAATAAGGTATTGGTGCACTCTCTCTCATATGTATAATGGTGTATAATGGTGTATATGTATAAAGTAAATTACATACTTTATAAATAGCTCTCTCTCTCTCACATATATATAATATATAAAGTAAATTACATACTTTATATGTATAAAATAAATTACACACTATAAAGTAAAGGGAAAAGTTTATAACAAATTTGAACCTACCTCAAAAATTTCACTAGAAGAGGTTGTTTTGATGTCCAAATATCTTCAAATTGATCATCTCGACATCAAGAAGCATGGATGTGAGAAAAAAATGGATTTCAAGTTTTGGAAATAGTGCATTTTGTAATGTATATTTTGACCGTCAATTTTCAAGATTTTCATAGATCTGTCGATCTACACTATTTTGGAAGCTTTAAACGTTTTAAATAAATATAAAAATATATTTAAGGCTATCAAAAAGATTTTCAATATTGAAACTGCATTTCTTGATACTATTTGAAGGTATGCTCTAATTTGATTGTTTAGAGCCTAGGCTTTATACAACCCGCATCGTAAAGTAAATTACATGCTTTATAAATAGCTCTCTCTCTCATATGTATAATGGTGTATAAATTAAATATTTTATAAACAGATTTCTCTCTTATACAATGACATCTATCAAATGAAATAGTCTATAATTCTTTTTAAGATTAATTATATATATATATAAACAAATATAAAATACATATAACCTTTAATTACATATAATTACAAAAATAACATTCTATGTAATAATTAACATAATTATATGAAATTGTTGTTTGTTTATGTTAATAACTTAAATATGATTATGTTAAATTTATGTCAATATATTATTTTTATATATACTAAATTATTTTTAAATTATATGGAAGTTTTTTCTAATATTTTTAAAACTCTATTAGGTAATTATCTCACGGGTTTATTTCATTATATGACTAATAATTAATTAACTAGTTAATTGAAATTAAAAATTAGTACTAGCTCATAGGATAGGAAAAAAAAAAAAACTAATTCTAGTTTATTGAATATTAAAAAATATTAGTTTAGAAGATATTTTAAGAGAGAAAATTAACACTAACTCATACCACTTTAGAATTTATTTATACATACATTGATGATCAAATCTTTTATTTTATTTATTTTAATTTATTTACATTATAAATTATGTGATGTACTAATTTTTCTTACCGTTGTCAATAATATATTTTAAATTAGATGATATTATAAGATATTTTGAATTTGTTATTATTTGTATAATAAAATAACTATAAAATGTAAACCAACAATTTTAATTTCAGTATATAGTATTATAGTTAGTTAGGTTGTAATAATTTTGAATTATAATAAGTTTGGTTGTAATAATTTAGGTTTTATTTTAACGGATTAGGGTTTTCCACTAATTCGTGATTTTGGTGGCCATTTTTTCATCGATTTAATCTATTATTTATTGTAGTCCATATATGATTATATACTTCATCTATGATAATTCTATGATTTTTCTTTTGTATGATGCAAATTTAATGGTTAACATAAATTATTACAGGAAAAACATCTCAATATTTGCATATTGATAAAAAAATGAAAATTAATAATATAATATCCCCATTTCTTATTGGATTCCTTAAAAACAATATTTATAAAGAATTTTAATAATAATTTTTTTGGATTTTTTAGGGCTTAATCCGATCGGTTTCGGACGATTCCCAATCCGGATCACCGATTCACTGATTCTGATGGATTTTTAGGTTCCTCGATCTAGGGCACCAATTCATTTTTTAAACCACTGATCATGAACAAGGAAAAAAAGAGTGAAAAAATGAAAATTGAACTTCGGATAAGCTTATTTTGGACGTTTTTTTTTACCACTGCTTTTGGTGCTCCAAATTCATGGATCCGGTATCACTGATTTGGGATGTGTTTCTGATTCTAAATCCCTTGAAAACCAAGGCAGACACATTCTCGAAATAGGAGGCCAAACCTTGTGTTGATTATCAACACAGAAGAACAAGAGTAATGAGTAAGGGTCAGTTTTTGACGTGCGGCTACAAATGCATGTAGATGTAGGGCAATAAAAATGGATGGTGCAGATGCGCTGAGACCATGTCACAGTCGATGATATTTATCGGATGGTGAAACCTTTTTCCAATATATGTTAAGCAAAAGCATAGTTGCCATGCAGAATGGTACCATTGTCAATCTTGCCACAAATGGATCTTTGGTGTATCAGATGCCATGCACAATGGTGTACAGTGGGATTAATATACAGCTTTGACTGAGTTTGCCTTGATTACTATCAATGAAAGAAAGACATCGCTTCCCATCTACTAATCAAGTCATGTATAGCCACAATTGACTCAAATGCAGAAACTAACTGATACCATCCCTAACAAAAAGAAACTGCTCGGTACAGAATTTGGGTTATTTTCAACATATGTTATGCTTCAACAACAGAAAATCTATGTGCAAGTCTGTGTGTGTGTATGAGAGAGAGAAAGAGAGAGTCAAATGGCAGTATTAGCAGAGAGAACAAAATTGGCTTTTTGATAGCTAGAAATTGAATGGGGAATAAAAAGAATATGGATTCATGCTGCAAAGTTGGCTCACCCACACTTTAAAATAGGGTGGCGATTAGAGCCAAGGGGCCCAACTTTTTTGAATTGAAATTTCTGGTTCCTTTATTAATCTTGAGCGACATTTACATTCATACTCTTCCTCTGTCATTCCAAAAAATTATCTCTTAACCGATAAGAATGGCATTTAATCTTCCTGATCTCTTACTTTTCGATTCACATCTCCATGTCCTCTTGTTGCATGGGGTCTACCACTCGTGCAGGCTTTTCGGTCCAATTTCTCATATAACTTTTTGCATAAAGAGAGCCAAACATGATAACCTGTCAAATTTTTTACCATGTTAAAGATCTTTCCTAGAAGAGTAGCATCAAAGATAGCAAGGGGGGAGAGAGAGAGAGAGAGAGAGAGAGAGAGTAGGTACGTGCTCTACGTACGTCTAGTCGTCCTTA